CGTCCGGAAGTTCCTCCGCATGGCTCCGCCTCGCATTGTGCACAGACTCGTAGCATCCCTCCAGTTTCTCCGGTGCGCTCGTCGTCGTTGGGCTCCTCGCCTCCTCGGCAGCCGCATCCAAGAAATGTTTGGTGGAGTTATGAACAGCTGCTTTTACCTCCGCAGCAGCCAATGACCACCCCGGTAGATTGTTGACACCCTTATCGCAAAGCCTGCGTATATCCTCATCAAATATCACTTAGCCCTTTGCAGCTCGCTTCATACCCAAATAATGACCGGATGCCTGCATTTCGTTCAATGCTCCTTTATCACGGATATACTTCGTGGGGTCCTTGAAAACTCCTCCAGCAAAACATCCCGATTGGTGTCCACAACGCCCCTGCCGTCCGGTTCCCTCGTAAGAAAGTCGTTCAGCCTCATTTCATTGACGCGAACTCTTCCTTTAAACAGTACATCTTCGATATTAGTGGAAATTTTAAATTTCATTTCTTGCGTTCGTCTTAGCCTTTCCGCTGCCTCCCGCCTCGCTTCTGTCAGTACCTGCGTGAGTACCCGTTTGGTTTTCCCCTTGCAGGAGGAGTGATCATATGCTTTCCTTTCATAGTCCCTACGTTGCCCGAGAGAGAGAACACACCTTCGTGAAGAGGCTTAGTAATGGCCTCCAGCGCTTGGCACGCAGTTAATTTAATAATTTCTTCAAGAAGCCGCTGGTCATGTACGTAATCATCCGGCTCCTGAACAAACATCTCCATCGTCACATTGTAGTCTTTCATCAACGGCCGCCCTGCCGCCAACATAATTCCAAAGGAAATCACTCAGCCTCATGTTGGTGCTGCTCATTGGTTCACTGCGGCCGCTCTTTACTCCTCGCCACATGTCGAGCTGCAGCGCCGGAACCATCACAAGAGCCACGGCGAGGTGCCATCACAACACCCGTGCGGTGAAGCATCCCACTCGCACCGCCCAACTGCGGCCAGCAGGTGCCGCTGGCTCCAAGGGACTGTCGCGGCTGTTTCGCCCCGCTGTCCCAATGGCGTTGGGCGTGGCACTCGCACGGCTCGGTGGTCGGTGCGCCATGCAGCCGCACTGCAACGCCTGTCGGTGAAACAGCCGAGGCCCACCGCCTCCGCAGCAACGCAACGTGCAATTGGCCACAACACCGCCACACTATCGCCCTTTTTTATTTTGTTTTATTTTACTCACGTTGTCTGTCTTTCTGCCCCATCACCGACACAAAAAATAAGTGCACACCTTCACAAAAGGGAAGGAACAAAGAGAAAAGGAGACACGATCCCACCGTCACGCCGCGGGTCAACACTCTCCTCCACCCACCACCATTGCCGCACAGGAGACAGCAGTCACATCGCAGAGTCAGCACCACAATGCGCACCGCACCATCGTGCAGTGAACAATGGGCGAGACGCAGCCATGCATCGCCCCGCTCCATTTTCCCACCACTCAAGTATTGCGTGCCCGCACAAAGTAGCAAACACAATCAGAGCGCACACAAACCCAATCGACACCCTCACTCGCTGAAGCACATTATTCGCATGGAGTGACAACATTTAGGGACACACCAGCAGTAGCAGGCTGCATGGAATTTCCCTGCCAGCCCTGTGAAAAGAAACAATAACTCTGCGGAGTCAAAGTGGCAGCCCCTCAGTATTGCCCGCAGTCCACATGGCAGGAAGAATTCCACGCACGCATAGCTCCGGATCCCTCGCTGTTTGAGTGCACACCAACGGAGAATGTGAAAAAAATACCTGCGCGCAAGATGGCAATTAAACACGTGAAAAGTCGGTCTGATTTCTTCGATGGTGTTGGCGAGCAGTCCCACACAATCCAATCAAAGTGGCAGGCCGGACAGAATGGCGTCCGTCAATCAATAAAAAAAATGCGACACTGAAAAGGAGCAGAGAAGAGTTGGCGCATGCGATTGCCAGCGACAACTGAGGTGCCGAGGCGCACGTTTTTGTAGAACTGGCCGTCAGGCAGAGAGGACAAATAAAACAGGAGGGCAGCAAACCCTCTCGTTCAATGTCTCCTGACCGCGACACCAGAATCAAAATACCATGGACGACAAGAGCGGCAACGCCTTCTCCAAAACATCTTGTCAAGAAGCCGCAGGTCCTCAGGAGGGGAGGAAGGCAGCGGCGGCAGCCACAGTGGGGGAGGCAATAAAACGGCTGGCAGGCACCCTCACGTCGACGCGCACACCACATCCGAGTGGGCCGGGAGCACAGATCGAACCGCTCGGAAACACACGCATCAAATCCGCAAAACAAAGTCGCAGTGAATCGACAGGAACTCCCCGCCCAAAACAAATTTATAAAGTAGCGTTTTTCAAGGGGAATCCGCCTTTCCGACGACGGCACGGACGCCTCGCAGGAATTTCTTGCAAATATCCCCTCGCAGGTCCGCAAGAAAACGCAGCGGAATAAAAAGAGAGCGCAAAATAAAAAATAATAATCCTCCTAACCGACCAGGTGGCAGGCCGCCCTCGCGCAAGTGGACAAAACACAACTTCACTCCGGTCTTGTGGTGGTGGTCGTCTCGCAACATTTTCTTCCTTCTTTTCGTCGCAGTGCACATCCCCCTCCTACAAATCATTTGTTCGGGACATGTTCCTGCGGCCAAACATCGCGCTGCTGGATCCCGCGGCACAGTCCTCGGCGCAGAAGTGAGGGGAGGAAGAGGGAACGCAGAAGGTGCGAGCACATCCGAATTCGGTGGCGGTCGCTGCAGTGAAGATTGACGTCCCACGCGGTGTCCCTTTTTTAGGTCCGGCCCTCACCGTGCCATGCGCTCAGCGTGCGGTGCGCCGGCCGCTCCAAGCCTCCACACGTGCTTGCGTCTCACCGTCGCTCCCAGCCCCGTCCGTTGGCTGCATCAGGGATGTCGCCATCCGGAGACGGGCATAAGGACGTTGCATCCAACAAAACCTTCAGAGGTACCCGGTGGGCCAACGACGACCGTCACTGCGGGATGTGCGGCCCCTCCGCCGCTCACCTCAACTCGCACTTCTACGCCTCCTCGAGCAGCAGCAGCATAAATACACCGGTCCACTAGGGACCGTCACCAGCCATTGCAGGAAGACCACTGTGCCCCAGTGCTATGAAACCCGAATTGCATTGACGGGCCACTTCGGAAAATCCTGTCGCATCCACCCCATTATGCGGAAACACATCCGTCGTGCATGCGACCACCGCAGCCAAATGAATCCGGTCCAAATACCCTCCAAACCAAATTCCCCTTTCCGCACGCCATTCCTTCATTCCATGCGCCCTGACCCCTATCCGCACGTGCCCACTCACACAAACCGCCATAGATAGATGGCGGCCGCCCAACGCTCCGGAAAAACATGCCCAACACGCACGCGCATAACAAATAACATGCGCCAACGCACGACACAACGGCGGAGAAGCGCACACCGAAGAGAAGCGGCCCTCCACAGCAGTCAAAGGAGGTGCATCACACCCGCAGGAAGAGTGACTCGCGGTGCGCGCTCCCTCTCCCCTTCCCTTCATGCCCACGGAGGAAGCAGCAGCCACACGCAACCGCCAGCACACGCCACAAAAGAAGCATTCAAATCCACTGCAATGTGCATTGTGTGTGTGTGGTTGTGTGTGCCTGCAGAAACACAAAGCAAAGAAGAAAGCGGAGTATGTGGAGAGACGCACAAAAAACTAAAATGCACAGCGGAGGTGCATGGCGGAAGCAACAAGGAGAAGACCGCCCAAACTCATGACTGCACTGCAGCCCAAGCAGCGGCAACCCAGAGAAAATTTATTTGAAACAAAAAAAAGAAACCTTCCCTTCGTCTTACACAAACCCCATCACACAAAATAATTATAAATAAAAAAGAAATCGTCCATTACTGTTCCACACAAATTTAAAAGGCAGCTGGCTGCCGTGTGGCCACACCAAGCTGTCTGCATATATTTTGCCCGCAAAAGAAAATTAAAAGATATTTAAATGTCTTTCAGCCGTCCGACCCTCTGTGTGTCCGCGCATCGTTTATATTTCATGGGGTCATCGGCGTGTTGCTGCTCCCCTCAGCCCTCTCATCGGCGTGTGAGTGCGGCCCGCAGAGCACAGTCACTCGTGTGTGTGGGGACTGAGAGAAGCACGCAGACATGACGGCAGTCGCGTCACTCCATCGGGAGAGTGAGCGCAGCAAAAAGAAAAACACGGCGGCAGGGTGTGGCTGTGTGTGTGGCGCTGCGGGTGTCTGCCCGCCCTGACCGCATAAAAAACAAAACAAGAGGAAAGAAATGTGTGCTCCGCCCCACAGGCCCTCGTCGCACGCCCACACGTCACGGCTCCCTCAGCGCGCCGTTCGTCGCGGCCCCTCCTCATGCGTGCAGCAGGCGAGGCGCACAGGGCCGTCGTCATGAGCGTGTCGGTGGGTGTGCGAGTGGAGCAGTTGGGCGGCAAACACACGGCACCCCTCGCAGGAAGAGTGCAGCAACAAACAATTAAAGAGGGAAGAGTCGAAAAGAAAAAAAACGTCCATATTGATTGCCCCCAAAAGCAAAAGAGAGAAGGTATGGGGGATGAGAAAAAAAACACGCAAAAAATGAAAGAAAAAGACTAGCAAAAAACTTTAAAGCAAAAAGAAAAAAAATTAAAAAAATTAAATTTACAAAAAAACAATAAAAGAAAAGCGTGGGACGACCAGCGCACACACTCTCATTGCTCCCGTAAAGAAAAACACACACACAGGGAGAGAGAGAGGTCGCCCACTCAATGCAATGGAAACAAAACAAAAACAGTTACGGTGCTCCGCCCATGCAGCCAGGCAGGATGGCAGCGATGCGTGTCGTGCAAAAGAGAGCAACAACGGGCCTGCATGGGTGTGCATGCATATATACAATGGGCACATTATTGTGTGCCTCGTGGGGTGAGGTGAGGGCGAGAGTCCATGCAAGGGGAGACACACACAGAGAGAGAAGGACGAGTGTGTGTGCGGGCGGTGCATGGCTCTCTCTCCCTCACTCTCACGCGGCCACCACCGCAGCAGCAGCCGCACACACAACAACAAGAAGAAGAAGCAAAAGAGGGGAGGTGGTGTGGGAGACCGCGGTGCTGCTGTCACTGTCGCCTGTATTTGCGGTGGCATTTGTACGAAGGGCGTTTTTATCTTTCGCGGATTCTTCGCCACTTTCCGCGGGGTGTTCATGCTGTTGTTGCTGTTGGACTTGTGTTTCATCACTTTGCTGCTGCTTTTCATTTTCTTCTTCCTCTTCTTCTTCTTCTTTTCGTGTGTGTTCAGTGCCGGATGTCGTCCCTGCCGCTCCTTCGGGTAGCGAGGAGTCGTTAGCCTCTGCAGCAGGCGTCTGATCTTCTGTTTGAGAGTCCCCTATTGTGTTAGATGGATTAGTGCCTGGTGACCCCGCTGTACCACCACTTCGGCCAGCCGAAGTATCAACAACAGTAGCATCAACAGAAGCGGAAGGACCACCAGAAGTACCAGGAGGAGCAGGAGAAGCAACAGGAGGAGCAACAGGAGGAGCGGAAGGTCCTTCAGATGAACCAGAAGAGACGCTGCCGGCGCCATGATCGCCAGCAGAAGTTCCACTGCCTCCACCACCAGGAGCAGCAGGAGCCCCTGGACCAGCATCAAAATCTCCAGAGCCAGAATCTCCAGCAGCAAAAGCACCAGGACCACTAGCAGTAGAAGCACCAGCGTCGGAAGTCTCACTTGAATTCGAACTGTTCTGTGTACCACCAGCAGAATCTCCTCCATCCGAGGCTTCGACGGCAGTAATGGGCAGTACTGACCGCAAAAGCACCGTAATCGCAGTTTTATTATATCCGTCAGGCATGTGGGATCCATTCTCACCCAACACTCCCGACGCCATGCAGCCACCCAGTGCGTTGGTGTCAACGTCCCTCGCATAAACACCGCCGGCAACGCACCACAGCACGCAGAGGACACACACCAGCAGCACACGGCCAGCCATCATCATCGCCATCACTCCTGTCACTTGCGTGCAGCCTTCAGCACAAACTAACTCCCCGTCAACGCAGAGTGAAAGCAAAAGGGGAGACAAGTCACACAGCCACAGCACAGTCACAAATGGCAATGCACGCACCAAGAGGCAGTTGGAATCAGTGCAATTGCAGAACTTACACACCGCCCTGCAAACCAGAAGTTAAAAAGCAGTTAAAAAGAACAACGACAGAGTTGAGATTCCGGTACGACTCCCAAAAAGTTAAAGAAGAACGATCAGGCACGTCTTTTATTGTATTTGCCAGGCAGCAAAATGTGAACGACCACTGGTTTGTGTATAATTAATGCATGGACTGAATAAAGCAAAAAAAAGATCGTGCTGTTCCGTGAGCCCACACAAAACACTCTTCACACTTCATGCGACATCCGGCCTGTTCCTCCAATCCTCCTCTTGTGCAGTCCGTGGGACGCACAGCAATGAAACCGACATCGCGTGTGGGCAAGAGAAGGAAACAAAAGGTAGAAGCACTTCACTCATGAAAAAGTACTGCAAACGAGCACTGAGGAAAAACACAGGGATGCTAATTATTCCAATAGGGCAAAAGCAGCAAAAATAAATAAATAAACGAAAATAAAAAACCTAAATTATTGACAAAACTCAGTGGTTAATGCTGGCAAGCTGCACATTTATTGCTCCACGAAAAGCCGCAATTCCACCCTCCCTCACACCTCAGCAGAGCGCTGCAGTGCCTCAGAGCCCCAGAAGCAGAAGCAACAACACCCGAGACACACACCCATGCACGGTGCTGTCACCAATTTCAGCCATGGTCAACAAATCCTTGAAGTGCCCGTGCTCACAAAAACCGTTGCTCACAAGTGATGCTGCGTCGTGCTCCGATGGGATCTCTGGTTTCCCAGACGTTGTGAGCAAATAATCCTGTGCGGCCTCAGCGCCAACCGACACGTTATCACTCGTTCAACATTTGCTAGGGCTGTGCCGGGCTCAGGCGTGGCTGTTGTACCATCCAAGGGCATTAGATCGCTGTTGCTGAGTGAATCGGGTTCGCTGCCCGTGCCCACGGCAGTGCGGGCATACGTGTCCTATTCGTGCTCAACGTCTTGTTATTCGCTGGCAACTGTGTTGGCGGTGGACGGCTCGTTGCCTCTCGCTGAGCATGCGTCTGGATCCGCCGCGCTGCCACTTGACTCCCCGGACAGCCGCGCTCCCTGTGGGGCCTCACCGCGCAGCTGCTGGCAGCCCTGCATGCTCCTGCCGAGCGGAGTGTCCTGCCACTGAGCATGGCCACAGACAGTTCCCAGTTCCTCGTCTGGAAACATCCCAATCGCCCACACGAATACTGGCGGCCACGGAGTCCTCGTCGGCAATTGAGGCACTCCGCGTTGCCCCACTGGCCGTGCGAGACTGCGTTACCAAAGGAATTTGGATTATGCTACTTTTCGTGGTGAAGCGAGGCCACTCTGTAGAATGTGTGTTCTCCCCATCGCACGGCGGTGTGCCATGCAATGAGGCCGCTGAGAAAGAAGCCGCGGTTGCAAGTTCCCTTCCCGCAATGGGGTGTACCAATCTGGCACGTGGACTTCCTTGCCGCAGTCAAGCGGTTATGCTGGAAAGAAGTCCAGGAGGAAGAGGAAGGCGCACACATCACACTACAGGCGCTCGTCGGCATAGCGAAAACTCCATTACTTGTGTCCGGCCAAATGTTGCGCCACGACCCGCAGCTCCGCGCACAACTGCGATGCGACTCCTGCCCACTCTTAGGTAGAATGGCGCACGCCCTGCAGATTACAGGCAGCCCTTTATGTCGGTAGCGCCTTCCCTCCCTCACCGAGGAGATCGACCCGCTCCTGCCTCCGGAACCTCCACCTCGCGTGAGAACCGCAAATCCTTGTTGACCAACGAGCGGCGGATTGACGTCCTCCTGCCCAACCTGCGGCAGCGTCTTCTCGTCCGTCCACAATATGAGGGCGTTTGTCCGACGTGCTCGGCCTGGCGTTCCAATGGTTTGAGAGGCCTCGCATGCGGACGCCGCGATGGCGCCACCGTCCTCCTAACAGGCGCCTTCCGCGCAGGTCTCCACCGAAAGTGCCAAGCATGCCAGCAGACCAAGCATGCAGGAAGCACAACCGCAGGAACTCAATATGGACCAGGCTCTTCCGACACCGCCTCATCACAGACGCTATGAGCTGCTGACCCCGACGGACCACGGGAAACTGTGCCTCATCCACTGTCGGAATGCTGTCGTTGGTAATTGGGAAAGCGACTGTTTGGGACTGCCCCAGCCCGCACGACGGCTCGCATGAGACGGAATACTTGCCATTTTTGTACGGACGACCCTTGCGCTGCTCACTCGTTGCTGTAGCAGCGTACAACTACAACAAGATAAAAGGTTGCTTTGTGATGAATATTGGCCGCACTTCCCGTGGACCAACAATCACGTGGTGTGCAGGGATCTCCTCCTTTTTTAATTGTTACTTTGCTTTTGTGTTGCTGTGTGCGCTGCACCTCCTCTTGCGTGTGTGCGTACCCTCCGTGAGGGGTGTCGACGCGACGGACCGCCCTCGCCGTGTGTACATGCGGTGGAGCCTTGTGTGCCGCTCCTGTTTGCTTCTCCCTCCTCCATCTGTGTGTTGTTGTTGCGGCAGGGCAGTGTGTGTGTGTGCCTGTTGCCGTGGATTGGAGTGTGTGTCGTGCGTGGTGTGCGGCGTACGGGGCATGCCTGGCTGCTGCCCTCTCCTCATGTGGTGTGCCCTCTGTGTGTGTCTGCCGCACCTCTCGTCTCCCCTGCTGCTCTCCACGTCCCTCGCTGTGCAGATCAGCCCCACACCACTGAACGACCACACTCACGATGATGACGTGCCGTCTGCTGTGCGCCCTGTTGGTGCTCGCCCTGTTGGTGCTCGCCCTGTGCTGCTGCCGTCCGTGTGTGCGACAGAGGGTAGCGATAAACCAGCTCAATCCGTTCAGAATTCCGATCCACAACCGGGAATAAGTGGGACGGACGGCAGGCAGAAGGTAAAAACGAGGGCCCAGGTCCAGGGGTCGTTACACCAACGGATCAAGACAATAACAAAGTAGGAGAAAAAACGGTTCCGAAAGCCAATGAGAATGCCAACAGTCAAGATGCGTCAGTTGCGTCTGTTGAGTCAGCTAAAACAAGTGCTGCGGATAAATCCGTAACGATTTCAAAAGTTGATTCCACAGTGCAAAAAACGACGACTACGACAAACGCACCAACTGCGAGTACGACTACCACAACAACCACCGCGCCAGAGGCACCAATTAATACGGCGATGAATACAGAGGCGGCAACCACGACGACTACAACTACAACCACAGAGGCACCGTCACGTCTTCGCGAAATTGACGACAGCCTCACCAGCTCTGCGTGGGTGTGTGCCCCGCTGCTGCTCGCCGCATCCGCGCTGGCGTACACCGCTGTGGGCTGAAGAGGTGCATGCGGGCTGTGCGTGCCAGCACTCAGCCACGGGGACATGTGTGCGTCCACTGTGGTTCGATGTATAAAGTAAGAGCAATTATGATGATTGTGTTTTTGCTTCCTTTGCTTCCGCTGCCCTGCTGTGTGCTCCGTGCTGTGCGCCACATCCGTCACGTTGAACGCATACCAAACATACGCATACGCACGACACGCACACAACTGTTTGCGTGGACACACTGTTGAGAATAGAGGCGGGCGCGCTGGAGCCATACTGTGCAGCTCTTTTTTGTGTGTGTTTTTACTGTTTTACTTTATTGCTGCCTGTTTACTTTTGTTTTTCCTTGGTTTCTGTGTTTTTCTTTACGTGCAGCGCATTGTGTCTTTTTTCACTTTCATTGGTTCAATATTTCTCATGAAATGCGTGCTGCTGCTGCTGTATTTTACTGTGCCGTGTCTTTTGTTGCTTTCACTCTGCGTTGACGGGGAGTTAGTTTGTGCTGAAGGCTGCACGCAAGTGACAGGAGTGATGGCGATGATGATGACCGGCCGTGTGCTGCTGGTGTGTGTCCTCTGCGTGCTGTGGTGCGTTGCCGGCGGTGTTTATGCGAGGGACGTTGACACCAACGCACTGGGTGGCTGCATGGCGTCGGGAGTGTTGGGTGAGAATGGATCCCACATGCCTGACGGATATAATAAAACTGCGATTACGGTGCTTTTGCGGTCAGTACTGCCCATTACTGCCGTCGAAGCCTCGGCTGAAAAAGATAATGCTCTTGTAATGCAGAACATTTCGAATTCAAGTGGGACTTTCAACGCTGGTGCTTCTACTGCTGGTGATTCTGTTCCTGGTTCTGACTCTCCTGCTGGAGGTTTTGGTGCCGAGACTCCTGCTTCTGCTGCTGGTGGAGGCGGTGGAGGCAGTTCTGGTGGCGGAGGCGGTGGAGGAGGTGGTGATTCTTCCACTGGAGTTCAAGGCACCGACAGCGTTCCTTCTGTTCCTGTTCCAGGGGCTACTGGTGTTGATTCTTCAGCTAGCAGCAGTGGTGGTACAGCGGGGTCACCAGGCACTAATTCATCTAACACAACAGGGGACTCTTCAACAGGAGATCAGACGCCTGCTGCAGAGGCTAACGACTCCTCGCTACCCGAAGGACCGGCAGGGACGACATCCGGCACTGAACACACACGACAAGAAAAAGAAGAAGAGGGAGAAGAAGAAGAAGATCATGAAAAGCAGCAGCAAAGTGATGAAACACAAGTCCAACAGCAACAACAGCATGAACACCCCGCGGAAAACGGCGAGGAATCCGCGAAAGATAAAAACGCCCTTCGTACAAATGCCACCGCAAATACAGGCGACAGTGACAGCAGCACCGCGGTCTCCCACACCACCTCCCCTCTTTTGCTTCTTCTTGTTGTTGTGTGTGCGGCTGCTGCTGCGGTGGTGGCCGCGTGAGAGTGAGGGGAGAGAGCCGTGCACCGCCCGCACACACACTCGTCCTTCACTCTCTCTCTCTCTCTCTGTGTGTGTGTCCCCTTGCATGGACTCTCGCCCTCACCCCACCCCACGAAGCACACACATAATGTGCCCATTGTATATATGCATGCACACCCATGCAGGCCCGTTGTTGCTCTCTTTTGCACGACACGCATCGCTGCCATCCTGCCTGGCTGCATGGGCGGAGCACCGTAACTGTTTCTGTTTTGTTTTTATTGCATTGAGTGGGCGACCTCTCTCTCTCTCTCCCTCTGTGTGTGTGTTTTGCTTTACGGGAGCAATGAGAGTGTGTGCGCTGGTCGTCCCACGCTTCGGCATTTTTTCTTTTTGTTTTTCTGTTTTGAATCTTTGCTTCTGTTGTGGTTGGGTGCACCCATTTTAATTTCATTGATTGGTTTTCTTCTTAAGGTGCGGATGGCTGAATTTTCCCTTTTGTATTCTCCTGTTCTTTGTTTCTTCCCACGCAATGGGTCCTTGTTGCTTCAGCGAGCCACGAAATATTTGCCTAACACCCACATCAATGGCTTACTTGCTCTACACCCCACATTAGTTTGAGACGCTGGTGCTGCTGCATTTGATGATGTTTGTGGTGTGATTGCCAGCGGGTGCTTTGCTGTCACTTTGACGTACCCTCGATTTGTTGAATATGTTATGCGTGCCGACAGCACGAATTGGATCCGAGATGTTGTGAGGGACGCACACTTTTTGAGCAGTTGGTGCGCTGCAGCCGTACACCGTCATTGGGAGGGATGGGCGCCCATCCGCATCAACTTATCCACAAGGGACCTGAATGATACCGGGAAGCATTGGATTTCAGAGAAGTACTACGCGCTGAATTCATTGAATGACAATTGCGAGTGTGAAGGTGACGTTGTATCCTTTGCGCACGGGATCATTCTCGAGGATGAAGTTATCCCTGCTGCTTTCAACCCGCATGCGGACCGTCTGCTCGTGCAGCCACTGGAGTGTCCGTTGATTGTGCCCCCATTTGCCACGGGCAGCGTTTGCAGTCGGTTCACGGTGCGTGCTGGGCATTGTTCCACTGCTGTTGCCAATGCTGACATGGTGCTGTCCGTGGCAGAGCGCTGTTGGTGGTGGTGCATTCGACGACTGCCGCGATGTCTGCGAGGAAGCACCATGACTGCGACGACATTGATGGCATGGAGCTGCATGATGGCGATGGGGACGGGAGGACGCTGGAGTCGCACTTATCACAACGCCACGCGATGGATGAGTGGATGGCACCGATTGGTTTTGCCGGCTGCCGCACGGAGCTGACGCTGGCCGCACCGGCTGACCTGGGCTGCATGAGGGTGAAGTGGGAGATGGCGGAGCCGATGCGCTGGTGAAGGAATTCGGGCTGTGCGCTGCTGCAGAGGAAGTGCTCCGCACTGAAAATGAGTGAATATCCCCAGATGTTCTGCGAAGCGAGCGTTCATGCCGGACGCTGCGCGTTGGATCGGTATTCCAGTGGTTGGTGTGTAGACGAATTATCCATGAAGGGTCAGCAAAACGCCCGATGGACAGTTGCCCCATCACTGATCCCGCACTGGATGTGAGAAATGCCGCCGCTGTTATTTGTAGGGAGAATATTTGTCTGCGGTGCCTGGGGGCAAGCCCTCTTCGTGGTGTCTGGACACGCTTCCCACCAACACGACGGATGCGAGGGACCCGGAAGAAATATACATCTCGGTGCTGCCATGCATGCGGCATTGAAGTGCCTCGGCATGCGGGTGCGTCTGAGAGGGGCTGAAAAGGGTAACGCCCGCTGTGCCCCATGCACGGCCGAGGCGATGATTACGTGGGTTGCTCCGCCCTACGACGAGGGAAAAGCTATTTTCCGTGACCACGCGCAGGTGTGCACGATATCCGCCACCAGCGGCAGCCTCCTTCCAGTGGTTCCGTGGGACGGCGATGTGAGGGTGTGTGGAGCAGGACGGTTTCACTGGCATCTACTGAACAAGCTTTGCCACGGGCATCCGTCCCCGATCCAGAGAGCATTAGGACCGGCCGTGGCACACCACCGAAGGATGTTGTCACGGCCGCTCCCCAGAAGCATACGTCGCCATAGAAGGAGGTTGCCTCAGGTGCCCCGACGGCAACGGAGTGCTCTTGCCCAGCGACACCGCGGGTGCGCCGCGGGAGGCGGAGAGGGAAAGCGATCTTCCGGACACCGACGATGTGGCCGCCGATGGTGTGATGTCTGTTGTCGGACAATCATTAGGAGATGAGGCCGTCAGCGACAAGGCCGGTGGCGGTGCCACAGCCACGGGACCCAGGAGCCCTGATGCCGCTGATGCCGCGCAGGGCGCCGTGGACCCTCCGCCGTGGGAGGATGATGCGGCGGTGGGGCGCGGGTTGGGAGGCAGACATGAAGGACGCCTCGCCTCCGATCCACGGCAATAACAGTGCGGCTGCTGCTCGTTCCTTTCCGCTGATTCTTCTGCTTGCCGCTGCCGCCGCGGTGCCAACACTCAGCAATGGGTACAAGAGAGAAAGGCCTATATCAACTGGCATGTTCCTGTCAGTATATACACACACTCTGCTTGTCCTTATACTTTGTACCAGGGACATGCTGTATGCACTCTCCCTCTTTTGTGTTGGTCGCTGATGTGTCGGCACCACGCGTGCATTATGGGCTGGGATAAGAAATTGTTTGACTTCTTCTGGAGGATACTGTGGGGTGTTTGTGTGCGTGTACGAGGGATCTGTGTGGTTTTGATTTCCCTATTTTTATTTACCTGCTTTGGTATTGTGTAATGATACTTCCTTTCTCCATTATGTGTGTTCTGAAGTGTTGCTGGGGCACCGGGAGTGGATGCCTGTGGACGCACACCGTGCATTATGCGCTACATTGGTGGGAGGGGAGACTGACATAACTGGCGGGACTCAGTAAGGCGCATTTTTGCCCACAGACCCTGCAGCCGCAGCAGCCTGAGTGGCGCTTTGCATATGGACGTGTGGATTGTTTCTCTCTTGCGAGACCTTTTTTTACTGCGTGTCATTTTCCGCTCGGGTACCGTGCCCGTGGCAGCAGCGGCGGCATCAAAAGGGCTGTGTGCGTGGAGAGTCCTTGATTGAGTGCCTGTCTTTCTTCTCTGTGTTCTGTTGATCGATTGTACCGTGTGCCGGCCAAACGGTTGACGTGAAGTGCTGCCGACGGCGGGGTCCACGTGACATGATGTTGCGTCGCGTGCTTTGTTGCGGGTATTTGATTTCCGCAACGGTTTTTGGGCGGTTGACTGTTGGGTCGTTGAGGGCGGCGTGGCGACGGGTGCGGATGGACCCGATTGTGTGCCGTGGCTGTTCGTGAGGGGAGCCGCGGGAAGGAGGAAGGCAGCGGAACGATGGACTCACGAGGAGTGCGGTAGCGTGCAGCCAAGAAGATTGGCGACAGGGAACTCACTGCCGCTGTGAGTTGCCGTGTGTGGTGTTTGTTTCTGTTATTATTACTTGCGTTGTTGGATATGGCCGCTGTGGGGGAAGACTGTTTTTTGTTTTTTTTTCACGCCGTTTTGGGATCCTTTTCTGCACCGGCATCACTGTGTTCCTGCCGTACTGTTGCCCCCTCTTTCCCGTCCATTTTGGGGCAGCTGCGGGTGGGTTTTACATGCCGTGGAGTTGTGTGCCGTGCTGTCCGGTGTTTCATTGTTGCCTGTTCTTCCTGCGTGCACGCATCCCCCATGCTCATGACAACAGCCCTCATGCAAACGCTACTCCTCCTTTTCCATGCTGCTGATGTGTGTGTGTGCTCTTCTCATCTTCCTCTCTTTGTCCCTCCCTAGACTGTGTGTGCAGCCGTGATGATGACGATGACTGGCCGTGTGCTGCTGGTGTGTGCCCTCTGCGTGCTGTGGTGCGGTGCCGGCGGTGGTGGATGTTCTGAAGCACCTCAACGTCCTCCGGGTTCTACGTCCGTTAAAGGCAATGATTCTAAAGGCGACAATGTGACCGTCGGTGGCACTGCAGGAGGTGGCCAAAACGGTAAACCGGCACAGTCACAAGCAGCAGGAGTATCGGTGCAAGGCGCAAACGAAGCGGCAGCAGAAGGGAGACCGGCACCACAACCCGGAGGAGGAGCATCTGAAAACGCAGAGGCAGCGAAGGGCAGCAACGGTCAAAAAGAAGGAAAAACGGAGGAAAAAGAAGACAAGGAGGAAGACGAAGAAGTGGAAGAAGACGAAGAGGGAAAGGAAGAAGAAGAGGAAGAGAATGATACGGAAGAAGAGGAGGAGACAAAGAAAGGAGAAGCTGTTACCGGCACCACAGAGGTGATGTCAGCAGGCGGTCGAGAGCAGCCAATTTTATCTTCTGGTGCGGAGGGAGCATCGAATAATACAAATCCCAACAGCACACCAACAACTGGAGACGATGACCCAGCAGCTGATGTTGCAGGGACAGCAGAGGGAAAACAAAATGAAAATAAAGATGCCAATCCGAAAGAAACACCAGTCGAAGCCACAGCCATGAAAACTACAACTGCGAAGACTGGCGACAGTGACGGCAGCACCGCGGCCTCCCACACCACCTCCCCTCTTTTGCTTCTTCTTGTTGCGTGTGCGGCTGCTGCTGCGGTGGTGGCCGCGTGAGAGTGAGGGAGAGAGAGCCGTGCACCGCCCGCACACACTCGTCCTTCTCTCTCTCTGTGTGTCCCCTTGCATGGACTCTCGCCCTCACCTCACCCCACGAGGCACACACAATAATGTGCCCATTGTACATATGCATGCACACCCATGCAGGCCCGTTGGTGCTCTCTTTTGCACGACACGCACCGCTGCCGTCCTGCCTGGCTGCATGGGCGGAGCACCGTAACTGTTTCTGTTTTGTTTTTATTGCATTGAGTGGGCGACCTCTCTCTCTCTCCCTCTGTGTGTGTGTTTTGCTTTACGGGAGTAATGAGAGTGTGTGCGCTGGTCGTCCCACGCTTCGGCTTTGTTTTGTTTTCACTTATTGTTTTACGTGTGTTGTGGTTGAGTGCACCCATTCCGCGGGCTGCGTATGTGATGATATGAGTAATTTGCGTGTGTGCTATCTGCCTCTTTCTGCCGTTGCTTTCATCGGACTCTCTTGTGGCGCACAGCTGCTCCGCAAGTATAGGCGCTGCCAAACACACAAGCACATGCACACACATGCCGTGTTTAAAACGCTGAGATCGCACGCACACGAATTTGAATGCGGCGGCCCTTGCGAGGAGGGAGGACGTTAGCCCTCGATGTGTTTTGTTGGCATGTTGCTGGTGTGCGGTCTGTGGGTGTTTTTTTGGGGGTGTCTGATACAACTGTTGATTGATTATCACCAGGCTCCTGCACATGCTGACGGGTACCTCCCGCTCTGGATTTGCCGGTATTCTTCGGCTGTGCGGTGTGATACGCGCCTGCGGCGGGGAAGAGGGTGCATTGGAAGAGAAAACAATAAAAAGACTGGCGGCAGCGTGTCGGTGCTGCGAAGGGCGGTTGCGCTCTTTTGTCTTCCGCTGGTTGTTTTTTGCGTGGGCGTCGCTCGGTGCGCGCTGATACGTGATGAATAAGACACCCGCCGTGACTCCTGCTGCTGGTGGTGGCAGCCGCTGTGTGTTCCCGGTGCACTGTTCTTCCTTCTCGTTCCGTGTGTCTGTCTGCGTGAGTTGTTGTTGTGGGGAGTGGCTGCGGCGGAAATGATGGTGCCACTCACTGTGGATGGCGGTGTTTACTCTCTTGCCTCTTTTTATTACCCTGTTTTCTTCATTTCTTTCACTCTCTTACGAAGAAAGCAAACAAGCACTAAACACTACTGTGAAATTCGAAGGCACTGAAAGGACCAACAGCACACACACCGCCCACACACACATATTTATATGCTCTCACGTGTTGCTGCAGTGAAGGCACCCCGCACACACAACCTTCGCCGCGTGACCGGATCCAGCGGAAGGAGGAGGGAAGGAAGAGAAAGTGAGCCGCAGAGGCCCAACATGTCCCGGCGTGTGTTTGCTTCCGCGGTGCTGCTCCTCCTCGTCGTGATGATGTGCTGCGGCAGTGGTGGAGGTGCACAAGCTGATGTGGGGGCGGCACAATCTCAGAAATCTTCACCGGAGAAACCGTTTCATTGGAGGGATACAAAAGATGGAGAAGCAGTGAGTTCGCTTCGTGTTCCAAGTCTTGTTGAGGTGAATGGTAAAGTATTTGCCGTTGCCGAGGCGCAGTTGAAGGGTGAAACCAGCGTCTTTACTGGCATTGCATCCCAACTTCTCACCAACACAGCGGATAACAAACAGGAGGATGTGCTGAAGAATGCCAGGGAAGAAACACAAGTTCTGGAGGAAGGCACGTCCGCAGAGGGGAAGAAAGTAGATGTGAGCCGACCAACAACAGTTGTGGAGGGAAGTAATATTTACATGCTTGTTGGAAAACACAGCCATGAAGCTGCTGATACCTGTCAGACTGAAACTGAGAAGATCAAATCGGGAATATTGCTGGTGAAGGGTGAGGTCAGTGAAGGCGGTAACAAAATAAATTGGAACGATACTGACGGTGTACCGTGCACGCTAGGCGAGAAACACAAATCCTGGACAGGGCTGATTGGCGGCGGTGGATCGGGTATTAAGATGAAGGACGGTACGCTTGTGTTCCCATTGGAAGGCACCAAAAAGAAGGAGACCGACACCGAAGAGGGTGGAGAGCCCGTTTCTCTGATCTTGTACTCCTCGGATACTAAGAATTGGACGCTGTCGAAGGAGGTGTCTGACGATGGCTGCAGTGATCCCTCCGTCGTGGACTGGAAGGGAAAACTCATGATGATGACTGCGTGTGATGATGGCCGCCGCAGGGTGTACGAGATCGGTGACAAGGGGACAGCGTGGACGGAGGCACTCGGGACACTCTCGCGCGTGTGGGGCAACAAACAGGGCGTTGGGAGCGGGTTCATCACAGCGAATATTGGCGACGGAGAAGATGATAAAAACAGGGACGTGATGCTCATTACTCTGCCGGTGTATTCAAAGAAGGATGATACCGAAGTCAACGAAAAGGGCGTACTCCATCTTTGGCTGACGGACAATACGCACATTGTTGATATTGGGCCGGTATCCGGTGATGATGACGCTGCCGCCAGCTCCCTGCTGTACAGAAGTGTTGAAAATGGAGATCAAGGAAATAAGGAGGAGTTGATTGCACTGTACGAGAAGAAGAAGGGCGAATCGTCATCCGGTATGGTCTCTGTGCTTCTGACTGAGCAGCTGAAGCGGGTGAAGGAGGTGGTGACGACCTGGAAGGAAGTGGACGAACGTGTCTCCAAGCTGTGCCCTCTTTCAAGTGCTACTGTGAGTAAATCAACTGACGATGCCTGCAGCGATGGTAAGATCACGGAAGGGCTGGTTGGCTTTTTGTCCGGCAACTTCTCTAATAACACATGGAGGGACGAGTACCTCGGAGTGAACGCCACAGTAAATAATAAAGATGGAAAAGTGACCAGCACGGAGAATGGAGTGAAGTTCCAGGGAGCGTGGGCGGAGTGGCCTGTTGGCAAGCAAGGGGAGAATCAGCTGTACCACTTTGCGAACTACAACTTCACTCTTGTGGCGACGGTGTCCATCCACGGTGAGCCGAAGGGAGATAATCCCATTCCTTTGATGGGTGCGAAGATTAATGATGGCAATAATAATCCTGTGCTCCTGGGACTGTCGTACAACAGCCAAAATAAGTGGCAGGTGCTGTGCATTGGCGGAAATACCAAGGATCTCAGCAGCACTTGGGAGCCACAGACACAGTACCAAGTGGCCATTGTGCTACAGAATGGCACCCAGGGCTCCGTGTACATCGATGGTAAGCGTTTGGAAGGTGTGCTGTTTGATTTAAAGGATATTAAAGGGTCTAAATGGATCTCACACTTCTACATTGGAGGGGAAGGAGGCGGCGCAGGGAGCCAAGAAGGCTTGTCTGTGACGGTGACGAACGTTCTGCTGTACAACCGTCTGTTGGGTGACACTGAGCTTACTGCGCTTAACGCGAATAAAGTCCCTATTTCAGTGCTGGAGAATCGGAACGAATTGGCGGGAGACACAGATTTACCAGCGGTAAGTGGATCAGATTTGGAAGGAACCGTGTCCTTGTACAATGCTCCCGGGCAAAAGCCATTGGAGGAGGAACCGTTGACGAATATTGGTGGTGGCGGTGGCGCTGTATCCAGTGCAGCTTCCGTTGCTACGACTCCCTCGTCCGATGCCGACCCAACGTTGGTAACAAGGAGTGGAGACACGATGCGGGGAATTGGATCACCCCAAAATCCTGAGAAGAGCGTGAGCTCTGGTGAGGATGGGGAGACGGTGGGAGGAACGGATGTGCTGGAAGGAATCCATCCACAGGCCGGGGAAGTAAATGCCACGGCACTCAACGGCAGTCTCGGCAATTTGACGCAGGGGAATAACAGCGTTGCCGGCACTGTGCGTGGGAGCGGACTGCTGCCATCGCTGCTTCTTCTGTTGGGACTGTGGGGGTTTGCGGCTCTGTGAGGCGTGACTGGCTGCCGCGTGGAATACCTGCGCCCTTCCCAGCAGAGAATTACTTCCTCTGGAAAGAATATTTTTGATACTTTTACTTTTTTTGCGTATTTTAAATTTATTTTAATGTTTGCTTCTTTCTTGTTTTAAAATTCTTTTTTTCTTTTCTTTTTTAAAAATCTCTCATCCCTCTTTTTGCTTTCGGGGCAATCACTGTGGACGTTTTTCTTTTCTACTCTTCCCTCTTTAATTGTTTGTTGCTGCACTCTTCCTGTGAGGGGTGCCGTGTGTTTCCGCCCAACTGCTCCACTCGCACACCCACCGACACGCTCATGACGACGGCCCTGTGCGCCTCGCCTGCTGCACGCATGAGGCGGGGCCGCGACGAACGGCGCGCTGAGGGAGCCGTGACGTGTGGGCGTGCGACGAGGGCCTGTGGGGCGGAGCACACATTTCTTCCCCTCTTGTTTTGTTTTCTTTGCGGCCAGGGCTGGCAGACACCCGCAGCGCCACACACACAGCCACACCCTGCCGCCGTGTTTTTAAGATTTCTTGCTTTTGCTGCGCTCACTCTCCCGATGGAGTGACGCGACTGCCGTCATGTCTGCGTGCTTCTCTCAGTCCCCACGCACACGAGTGACTGTGCTCTGCGGGCCGCACTCACGCGCCGATGGGAGGGCTGAGGGGAGCAGCAACACGCAGATGACCCCATGAAATATAAACGATGTGCGGACACACAGAGGGTCGGACGGTTGAAAGAAATTTAAATACCTTTTAATTTTTTTTTGCGGGCAAAATACATACAGACAGTTTGGTGTGGCCACACGGCAGCCGGCTGCTTTTTAAATTTGTGTGGAACAGTAATGGACGATTTCTTTTTTATTTATAATTATTTTGTGTGATGGGGTTTGTGTAAGACGAAAGGTTAAGCTTTTTTTGTGTTTTCAATAAATCTTGTGCGAATTGCCGCTGCTTGGGCTGCGGTGCAGTCATGAGTTTGAGCGGTCTTCTTCTTGTTGCTTCCGCCATGCGTCTCCGCTGTACATTTTAGTTTTTGCGTCTCTCCACATACTCTCCTCCTTTTTTCTACTTTTATGCTTTGTGTTTCTGCAGGCATACACACACAAGATGCACATTGCAGTGGATTTGAATGCTTCTTTTGCAGTGCATGCTGGCAGTTGAGCTCTTTTGCTGCTGCTCGTCCGTGTGCGTGGCGGCTGCTGGGAGTGCTGGACATGTATCTGGTGATGCGGATGCGGTGGTTGTGCCGGTGGATGTCTCGTGTGCTCCGAGTGACGGCAGCCTGAGCTATCGCGTGCGTGTGTGTGTGTGTGTGTGTGGAGGAAGTGTTCCGCTGCCATTGCTGAGGCTGAGTGTGAGAATTACACTTTCAGTGGCTTTGATGTGCGCATGCACAGCAGGAATGGTGAGCTGGGTGCAGTGTGCCATGTGGCCAATGCGGTGCACACATGTAGCAACTGTGCTGCCAGCTGTGCAAGGAAAGAGGAAGGGGTCACCGTTGCCTTCACGATGAATGTGACGACACATAAATACGCCGGCCCTTATGAATTGTGGTGGCGTCAATTTTCCCCCGATGGAACCATCCATCCGCCTGCACGGAGCAGCGATGCTGACCTGACGGCATCTGTCAGTTGCCGCCACCCCGTGAAGGGAGGGATGACACAAAATCTGGTGGGACAACTGCGCCGCAGGTTAATGCTGAGCCGTCACGTCAGAACGAGGATTGGCGACGGTCTGCGACGGTTGACGGACCCAACACCGTCGATCCGAGTCCCGCATCCAACACGGCGACCAACACGTGTGGGAAAAAGCCTCGCATTGCAACCGATCCGAAAGAAAACGTGTCTCCAACACCACCCAATAGGAAGCCTAGCATTGCCATGAGTCGGAACATAGAAATGGATCCGAATGCATTTGAGACGAATACTGCGCCCGCCACCGCGTTGACGAAGGCAGTGGGCTCGAAGGATGCCCGTAAGATTGAAGCCGTTGACGGCAGCGGCGAGCACGTTTCTGGGAAATTTCGGGAGGAATGAATGGTCACAACGTCCCCGGAACACCAAAAACGCATCAAGAAATGTGACGTTGCACGATCTGGAGCGGCGTGAGTCCAGACGGCCGCCTCGCCCTGTTGGACGACGTGAAGTTGATACCACGCGATTCAACTGGCGGCCGCACCGCGCGTGTGTGTGCGTGTCTTTGGTGTTGCTGCTGCTTCTGCTGGAACTGTGTGGAGTTGTGGTAGTCGTTCGAGCCAAAGAGGGTGGGATTGTGACTCCCCACGGGGGATATTTGCCGCATACTTTGCGGTTTTTATGTCACTGTTTTTTCTCTTCTTTTTTGATTTTTTACTGATCGCTTTTTAAACCTTTTTTCCTTCTTTATTACTGTTTTTCCCTTTTTTTCTTTGTAATGCTCTTTTTGATGCTTTTTCCTCTGGAGTAATAAGTACCCTTTTTCTTCTCTTTATTTAATGTTCGGTTGATGTACACCGGAATGGGCGACGTGTTTCTCTCTCTTGTGTGTTTCTTTTTTGTTGCCCACACGCAGTGCCGGCGTCACTGCTGTGCGTCCCACGGACTGCACGAAAGGAGGATTGGAGGAACAGGCCGGATGCCGCAATGAAATGTGAGGAATGTTTTGTGGGCTTATGGAACAGTGCGATCCTTTTTTTACTTTTTATTTTTTTGCGGGCAAAATTTATTCACACAACTGTCATTTGCTTCTATGCATATGAAATAAAAGTCCTGCCTGAAGTAAGTTTTTTTTTATTTTGCAAGTTTTGTCGGAACGTAATTTTCGTTTTCTTTTTTTTTCTTAAACTTCTGGCTTGTTTTTTGCTTGTACCGTGTCCACTGTTACTGTGTGTCTCCGTGTCTTATTGAGTGTTCCTCTGCTGACTGTGCAGTTGACATGCCCCCACTTCTTCTTTCCTGCTAGAGGCACCGATGGTCCGCGACGATTGTTTGTGCTCCCCATTGCGATGGCACGAGGGTGACTGAGCGCGGCCTGCTGAGTGCACAAGGAAGGGAGCGGATGTTGTGCGCCGTGCCTCACTGTGAGTGTGGGAAGCAATGCCAATCCATTGGGGCGGGGAGAAGTAAAGGACTGCAGCGTGGAATTGGATCCGCCCGTCTCTTTCGTTGCGGCCGTGTGTGTGCGGTGCGCATGGCTCTATCTTGCGGTGCGACGTGGATGGCGTTGCTTTTGTTTTTGCCCTTGTGCATGCACTGTGCGGCGGACTTCCCTTTCCCATGGCACCGCCCTTTTGTGTGGGCGTAGAGGGAGTGGATATGTGTGAGGGAGTGGCCGTTGTTCCCGCACATTTGTGTCTTCCACACACGTGGCACCTCTCGGCAGCCTTTCGCAGCACCCAGGCCGTGGATCGAGAGGATGGGAGGGTCTGCTACAAGTACAACAAGGACAACAAGATGCAGTGCGTGACGGCGAGGCTGATCCGCGGGCGGTTGCAGCGCGTGGACCATGTGCGACAGTATGCTTTGGGTGTTGCGCTCATGATTGGGGAGGAGAGGCGGCACGACATTGTGGCGCTGTGTGTGTTGTGTGGCCGGGGCATGTCGGCGATTGTGAGGACGTGGAGGACACGGAGCTGTTTGACTGAGGGAGGTGGTGGCGAACATTGCGGCGCAGCGGGAGCGCATCACGGACTGCGTGTGCTGGAGGGGCGCGTGTTGAAGTGAGCGTGGCGTGCTGGTGAGGGACTGAGTAGAGAGAGTAACGGTAATAGTGACTGTGGGGGTATGAGGAACGGTGCACGGCGAGGAGCACTTCTTTTTTGTTTTGTTTTTATTATTGTTAACTGCTCTCACCCAATTGTTGTTGCGGTGTGTGCGTTGCTGACTGTGCGGTGGTGTGTGACTTGTCTCTCCTTTTGCTTTCACTCTGCGTTGACGGGGAGTTAGTTTGTGCTGAAGGCTGCAGGCAAGTGACAGGGGTGATGGCGATGATGACTGGCCGTGTGCCGCTGGTGTGTGCCCTCTGCGTGCTGTGGTGCGGTGCCGGCGGTAGGTGTGACGAGGAGGAGAGGGCAGTTTCTGGGAGTGGTGATGGACCTCCGCCGGGATCAGCAGAACATGGAACGCCTCGAAAAGAAACCCAAGAATTAAAAGTTGGAGCACCAGGTGTCATAGAGACAGCATCACCCCCATCTTTGAAACCTACAGGGGAAGATAAAGACGATGATGATGAAGATGATGCAGGTGGTGATGAAGATGATAATGAGACGGATGAGACAAAAGAAAAAAGAAGAGAAGGGCAGAGTAATAAAGGAGGAACAGTTCTACCAGACACAGATTCCAGGGAGGAGAATTTAACTGGCAGCGGGCAGGAAACAGGCCAGCCAAATGTACCTGCAGGGGGCATTTCACCTTCCGGCAGTCAGTTATCAAATGCCAATCCTTTGCGAACGGAAGTTGAAGAAAAGAATGACACCGATAAGAGACCACCTGCAGTAAAGAACGCACTCACAACAGTTAACGGAGAGCAAACACTGCTTGGGGGCATTGCGGGAGGAAATCTTCCATCGCCTCCAGAAGACGGTGTTGATTCCCGCAAACAGGATGGCGAAGACACCACGAGTGAAGGTAAAAAAAATGCTCCACCGCCTGAGACCGCAGCCACACCAAAAAGCCACCGAGACGAAGGCCCAGAAGGGACTGGGGAAGATACAAAAGCAACAACAGTAACCGCCAACACAACTGATACGACGAACACACAAAACAGTGACAGCAGCACCGCGGCCTCCCACACCACCTCCCCTCTTTTGCTTCTTCTTGTTGTTGCGTGTGCTGCTGCTGCGGTGGTGGCCGCGTGAGAGTGAGTGAGAGAGCCGTGCACCGCCCGCACACACACTCTTCCTTCTCTCTCTGTGTGTGTGCCCCCTTGCACGGACTCTCGCCCTCACCTCACCCCACGAGGCACACACATAATGTGCCCATTGTATATATGCATGCACACCCATGCAGGCCCGTTGGTGCTCTCTTTTGCACGACACGCATCGCTGCCGTCCTGCCTGGCTGCATGGGCGGAGCACCGTAACTGTTTTCGTTTTTATTGCATTGAGTGGGCGACCTCTCTCTCTCTCCCTGTGTGTGTGTTTTGCTTTACGGGAGTAATGAGAGTGTGTGTGCGCTGGTCGTCCCACGCTTCGGCTTTTTTGTGTGTTTTTTTTTTTTTGTAATTTTTTTATTTTTTTCCTGTTTGCTTTAAATTTTTTACTAAACAATTCCTTTTTTTTTTGCTTTTAGGGGCATTCACTGTGGCAGTGATTTTTTCTTTTCTACTCTTCCTTCTTTAATTGTTTCTTCTGCACTCTTCCTGTGAGGGGTGCCGTGTGTTTCCGCCCAACTGCTCCACTCGCACACCCACCGACACGCTCATGACGACGGCCCTGTGCGCCTCGCCTGCTGCACGCATGAGGAGGGGCCGCGACGAACGGCGCGCTGAGGGAGCCGTGACGTGTGGGCGTGCGACGAGGGCCGGTGGGGCGGAGCACACATTTCTTCCCTCTTGTTTTGTTTTTATGCGGCCAGGGCGGGCAGACACCCGCAGCGCCACACACACAGCCACACCCTGCCGCCGTGTTTTTAAGATTTTTTGCTTTTATGTTTTTATGGATGGTGTGTGCCGCCACCGTGCGTGATTGTTGAGGTTGGGGCCGTACCGCATGTACAGCTGCTATCCAGCTGTGCCTTTTGCTGTGTTGATGTATCTCCCTGTGCTTCCCCTCCTTTTTCCTGCTTTTCCAGCAAACACGCATAAGTACTTGCACGGTGCTCTGCGAGAATGCTTTGGCGACAGCGGGACGTTGGCTTACGTCCCGTGCTGAAATGACAACACGGCTGCACGATGCCCGCCATGTGTGAAGGCGCTGCCTGCTCTTGGGGCATTCTTCTCTCCTCGTTGTTTTTGCTCTGCCGGATGTGGGCGTTGCTCGGTGTGTGCTGGCGCGTGACGAACGGTGCCACGATGGCCTACTCTGACGATGACAGTCGCTGTGCTCTCGGCACACACCCACACACTCTCCCTTGTCTCTCTGTGAGAATGATTGCAGCAGTAGCGTGGTCTATGGCAGCGGCTGTTGGTGCTGCGGAGAACGAGGCGCCGAGGGAGAAGAGGGCAAACCTGCTGGACGCGATTACGATGGCGGATGAAAGCTGTTTCGTTGCCTTTGCTTCGTACATTGCTAAGAATGCGCCGTGTCGCCGTCTGACGGAATGCCTGCACTCGGCACCCTTCGAGGCATTGTGTTCTTTCATTCAGTGTGATGCCACAATCATCATGGCAGCACCTTCCCTCACCGGCTCTGAGTGTGACAATACGAATGACGGCAAAGGGAGCGATGAGGATTATGGTGACGACTTGCACCGAGGGGCGGATTATTTGCGTGTCTTGGCACACGAATCCCGGGAGGGTTTGAATGCCGTCCCCACAATTCCCGGCCTTGCGGAACCGTTGGCTTTCGCGCTGTCACCCGCCGTAATTAGTGCCCATGCGTTGAGGCTGATCCATTTACCGTGGAGTTCACGCAGCAGCTCTCGAGTGGTTGTGCTGCTGATCCCGCGTTGGTCCTTTCGCACGTATCTCAGCGTTGCCTGGCGGATGATTTGATGTCTGTGTTGTCCAGGCCGCCGCCTCCAGTTTTCTTTTGGTGCCCAATAAGAAACACTTTGCGTTGCGGTGGATATTTATTTGCGTGGCCGTCGACGCACGTGACGCTGCTCAACGGGTGTGTCTTTTGTTTGGTAGACACGAGGGAGACTTCGGTGTGTGCCGACGCCTCCGCGAAAGTCTTCGTCGACGGATGCAAGCGAAAATAAGGGAGGTCTGTCCGCCGCATCTCTCAAGGCAGCTGCGGGGCACTCCGGACGCACAGAGTGAATGGATGGATGCCGCGCAGCTGGGGAGACCAGTTGTCTTCTCCGCCCTCCGTTGCCCGGGGGAATCGATAATCCACAGCGTCACTGCCAGCTGCATTTTACTGCTGGGGATCGACTGTTCTGAAGTTGCCCGTCTAATGTGAATCGCAGCGTCAGTGCAGGAAGACGCTTTCACGCATTGCGAGTAGTTGCTCCAGCCTCGAGCTCATCAATATTCACGGCAGGAAGCAATGCATCTTGGTGGCCGGTGACGTTCAGGCGAGTGTGTTTCACTTCACCCGCCTCGTATTTGTGGGGGACACTGCGCATCGACCCTCCCCAACAGTCCCACCACCTTCACTTTCCCCCGCTGCTCGCTGCCCTCTGCTGACGGTACAGTTGTTTGGCTCCGCCAATAATGCGCTCGTGACACTTCCTCTCCGCACGTTGCGGGATTATTGCCGTGGAGGCGTTGATGGCATGTGGTGCGGGTATGGCGTCGACAGAGTCATCCACGCTTCTTTTTAGAAACTTTTCTTTGAGTCTTGTCAGTCACGCCGTGTTTCCTTTTTTCTTGCTGGGAGTCTTGTGGGTGTGCTTGAGCCCTTTTTCTCCAATTTGTTTGCCGAAACGATCAAATGCTCCGCCGCTGCACATCGCCGGTTTTCCATGGCGGTGAATTGAGCAGGTGCCGGGGGAATTTCAGGCGGAGCAAACCGAAGTTTGCCTCACTTGCTGCTGACGCAGAGTCCGTTACTGAGGGAACACAATACGGAGGCGGACTGCCAGCGGAGCCTCGCGTGGTGGCGCGCATTTCTCTCATTGGCGGGGTGACAGCCGAGCCTTCCAATCAGCTGGACTCTGATATTCTGCTGCGCCTGATGGGACACTTTATCGCCATGGCAGAGCGGCCGTCTGACTCTCTTGATGACATCATGGCTTGGAGAGTGGGAGTTTCTCTCCCATTGTACCCAACAGAGCCGGCACTGGCGCGTTGCTGCTGTGTTGATGACGACGCTGTGACGGAGGGAATAGCGGTTGTGTATTCACGATGAAACCTACCGGAGACGTATTCATCGCGTGCGTTTTCCACCTCAGCACGCGGTGGGTGGCGGTCCTTTGAGGATTATTGTTGACGGGCTGTTTAACCGCGACCTTTTAGTGAATGGACTCTTTGTGGAAGATGGTGCAATCCGCGTGCAGCACAACCGATGCCCCCAGTACTCCTTGGAGAAGCGTAGGCGAATACTGCAGGGATTGATGAGGGACGGCCTGCCTGTGATGTGGCATGAGGCAAGTAACCGTCGTTTGGCGCACTCAAGCAGCGTCCCCTATAATGCACCTATCGGCTGTGACTTGCATGGACAAATGCAGACCGTCCACATTCTTGTGGAGCCGCAGCACGCACGTTGGGGCTTTTTCGAGTCCCCTCAATACTGTGAGTTTTATTTTGAATGTGCCATCGCCAGAGAGCGAGATAACCCTGGCCAAATTGGTTGTACTTTTCCAGGGACAAGACAGTCGAATATTTGATTCCCGTGTGCGATACGTTGCTCTACCCTGCCTTCTGCACTGTTGCCTCTTTGACGGCATTATTGACCCATCTTTTCCACCGAGAAAGAGAGGGTTGGCTCCGAATACCGTTTATCTGCGGACGCAACTCTGCAGTCTTACGTGCCATATCTTCCACGCGTATTTCCGAGGGTACGCGTCATTTATCTGGACGCCAACAACGCCATCGTATCATCCGATGCGGCACTCTTGCACCGTTGTTGTTGTCGTCACGGTAATTTTTTTTTCCCCGACGGGAGTGAGACAAGTTTCGTTTTTCACCTGTACGATGTGCTGGATCCCACTGTGGGCGCTGAGAGCGTGCAGCGGAACGATGGCAAGCTTGCAGAAACTGTCTCGCGTAAAAATTGGAGGGCTGTTTGTTGTGCAAGTAGGGGAGATGGTTGTGGTTCTCTCCTCCTAGTTTTTGGTGGCTGTTCTGTCGTTATGTGTGCGTTTCTTGTGCGGATGCTCTTTTGCAGTGCGTGCAGTGTGCGAGTTGTGCCTGCCGCGGGAGGTCGCATCATTACCGCGCACACAACGGCGACGCTGCGACGATGTGTGTGTATTTTTGCTGCACCTCTTTCTATTTCCTTTTTGCCTTTCTATTCTCCGCTCTGTGCGCAGATCTGCTCACCGACTTCAGCCACGCAACTCTACTACTACTACTACTGCTGCTCGCACTTGTACGCGAAAAACGATGATGATGGTATGGCGCGTGTGGAGATGGAGTTGTTGTGTGGAAGCAAAGATTCCCGTGTGCACTGGCGCCCAGTCGGCGAGAGCAGCCGGACTGCGTGTCGTACTGATAAGAAACCAGACAGTCGAGATCTAACAGAAGAGGAGGCTTTCAATGCGATAGTCGGCGATTTTGCGGCGAGGAGCTGCTCGGATTGCGATGGCACGAATAATTCCGGAGGAACGGAGGAATATATGACTCCTGACATCACGACGCCCAACACCACCGAGGTGTGCAGCAATAGGACTGTATCCATGGTCCTCGGGCACCCACCCTTGCCACCAAGGAGCCGACAAACAGCAGTTTGTGCAGCAGCTCCACACAGAGCACATCTCCTTTAAACAACGAGAAAGTCAGAGAGAGCAGAGGAATCTCTTTTGAAGCTGACTTGTCCTTGCCGACGGTGGACGGCAGCGAAATTATCATCTTGTGGGTGGAGAAACCACTGCTGCCTCCGCTTCTGGGATTGTGTGGGGTTGTGACGGTCTTTTGAGCTGAAGAGTGTGGAATTGCGACTCCTCACGGAGAACATGTGCCGCGTTGCATGCGTGTTTTCTTTTATTATTTACATTTTACTGTTGGTTTTGTTGTCTTCCTGGAATAATAAGTATCCTTGCTGTTCCTTTATTCAATGGTCGGTTGCTGCACACTCTCATGAGTGACGTGTTTCCCTCTCTTGTGTGTTTCTTTTTTGTTGCCCACACGCGGTGCCGGCCTCATTGCTGTGCGTCCCACGGACTGCACGAAAGGAGGATTGGAGGAGCAGGCCGGATGCCGCAATGAAGTGTGAGGGATGTTGTGTGGGCTGGTGGAACTGTACGATCTTTTTTATTTGTCTTTTTTTTTTCTTTCTTGAAGGCATTATGTATACACAGACACACACGGTTGTCTTGTGCTGCTTGGCATATGAAATAGAATTTCTGCCTGATTGATTTTTTATATTTCTCCCCTGGCGTTCTGTTGGACTCCCATCATTTTTTTTCTTTTTTTTGTTTTTTCCGCCTTTTTAAGTTCTGCTTTGTGTGGCGGTGTGTGAGTTCTGCAGTTGTAATGATTCCATCTGTCTTTTTTGGTGTGCGCTTCTTCTGACTGCTGTCGCTTATTACCATGCGGTGGCTTTGCGTGGTGTAGCTGCTGTCTCTCTCTACTTCCTTTCTCATGATCCTGCAGATCGAATCCACGTTATTCAACAACGAAAGTTTTGAAGATAATGCGCCGTGTGTTTTGTGTCGTGTTGGCGTTTGCACTGCTGTGCTGCTGCTCTTGCGTGTTTGCCGTGGAGGGAGGGAAGGAGCAAGAGCCGCAGGTAACGCAGGTGAATGCAGAGTGTGCGGGTGACGGTAATGTTGCGCGCTGGCAGCTCCCTGGGAGGTCATTGTGGTACAACTGCACGGTTGAAGATAATGGTGTGGGGAAGGATATTTGCGGCATGGGCGACGGAAACTGTACGTCCGAGGATGTTGAGAGACGTATAAAAGATGGTGCGGAGCATGGTGTCTTCACGATCAACGTCTCCACGTTTACTCCAAGCGCCGTGAAGAGTTGGTGGGAGAGTAACGTAGAGAAGGCGGTCACCGTCGCAATTGTTCCGGCAAAACCTCCTGCAGCAGAACCTCTGGAGTCTCGAGAACACAAGGCCCCCGGTGGCACCTCCACAACAAATTCTGAATCTTCTGACGTTGAGGATTCCGCGGATGTTTCTTCTCCTCCTCAAACTGCAACTCCAGGCGGCGCTGTTGCTAACTCTGCTGCTGGCGCTGCGGCCTCGCAGGCGTCGGATTCCGCCCCCGCTGGTGATCTTCAAGGCCCTTCACATTCTGCCTCTGTTGCCTCTCCTGCACCCGAATCCATACCAGATCCAAAGCCCACAGAAGGCGGCGACCACTCCTCCCATGAACCTCCAGTGGAGCTGCAGGAAGAGACTGCTGCTGCGCCACCGACTCAGTTGTCCCAGACCGGCGAGGACGGGGGCGCAGCGGAAGGCGCCGAAGAGGACACCGCCGCCAACGCCACCGACACTGCTTCCAGCGAAGGAAATGCTACGGCGGCAGGCATGTCGGCTCCCCTTTCCTCTGCGCCCAAAACGAACGCGCTGGAGAACAGTGTGGGAACTGACGCCTGCTTCCATGGCACGCGTCTGAATGCCCTGCCACTGCTTTTTCTGGCCGTCCTTGCGTACGGGACACTGGGCTGAAGAAGTGTATGCGGGCTATAATTGCTAGCACTCAACCACGGGGATTTGTGCGCTTCTTTTGTTTTATTGCGTAATAAGTAATAGAAAATAATGATTATGTGCTCTCTTCATTTGCTTCTGCTGCCCTGCTGTGTGCTCCATGTTCTTGCCTCCCGTGTCCGTCACTTGGCACGCGTCCCAGACACACTCTTATGCACGACACGCCCACAACTTTTTGCGTGGACGCATTTTTGTGTGAGTGTGCATGCACGCTGGAGCCATTTGTTGCAGCTCCTTGTGTTTTGTTCTTTTTGTTTTTACTTATTTTTTACTTTCTGTTTCTCTGTTGTTTTGTTGCTACTTGTTTTTTATGTGTTTATTTTCCTTGTTTTTTGGTTCCTTCGGGGTGCTGTGAGTTTTTTTTCATTTTTTAATGGTTTTTTTTTCTTTAATTTTTTCTTTTTCTTTTGTTTACTAATCTTCCATACCTTCTCTTTTGCGTTTGGGGCAATCACTGTGGCAGTGATTTTTTCTTTTCTGCTCTTCCCTCTTTAATTGTTTCTGCTGCACTCTTCCTGCGAGGGGTGCCGTGTGTTTCCCGCCCAACTGCTCCACTCGCACACCCACCGACACGCTCATGACGACGGCCCTGTGCGCCTCGCCTGCTGCACGCATGAGGAGGGGCCGCGACGAGCGGCGCGCTGAGGGAGCCGTGACGTGTGGGCGTGCGACGAGGGCCTGTGGGGCGGAGCACACATTTCTTTCCCTCTTGTTTTGTTTTTTTGCGGCCAGGGCGGGCAGACACCCGCAGCGCCACACACACAGCCACACCCTGCCGCCGTGTTTTTAAGATTTCTTTTCTTTTGCTGCGCTCACTCTCCCGATGGAGTGACGCGACTGCCGTCATGTCTGCGTGCTTCTCTCAGTCCCCACACACGAGTGACTGTGCTCTGCGGGCCGCACTCGCACGCCGATGAGAGGGCTGAGGGGAGCAGCAACACGCCGATGACCCCATGAAATATAAACGATGTGCGGACACACAGAGGGTCGGACGGCTGAAGGACATTTAAATATCTTTTAGTTTTATTTTGGGGGCAAAATATACAGACGGTTTGGTGTGGCCACACGGCAGCCGGCAGCTTTTTTAAATTTGTGTGGAACAGTAATGGACGATTTTTTTTTATTTATAATTATTTTGCGTGATGGGGTTTGTGTAAGATGAAGGGGAAAGCTTTTTTTTGTTTTGGATAAATCTTGTGTGAATTGCCGCTGCTTGGGCTGCAGTGGAGTCATGAGTTTGGGCGGTCTTTTTCTCTTTATTTCTGCCATGCACCTCCGCTGTACATTTTTGTGCATCCCTCCGCATACTCTGCTTCCTTTTCTACTTCTTTGCTTTGTGTTTCTGCAGGCACACACACACAAGATGCACATTGCAGTGGATTTGAATGCTTCTTTTGCAGTGCACGCTGGCAGTTGCGTGTGGCGACTGTTGTCTTTTTCCGTGGTCATGGGGAGAATGAAGGGAGGGAGTGCGCAGCCCGAGTCACTCTTCCTGTTGGTGTGATGCGCGCGGTGGGCTGTGACTGCTGTGGAGGGCCGCATCCTTTCGGTGTGCGCTTCGCCGTCGTGCCGTGTGTTTGCGCATGTTATTTGTTATGCGCGTGCGTGCTGGGCATGTTTTTCCGGAGCGTTGGGCGACTGCCATCTGTCGATGGCGGCTTGTGTGAGCGGACACGTGCGGATGAGGGTCAGGGCGTATGGAATGAAGGAATGGCGTGAGGAAAGGGGAAGTTGATTTGGAGGGTATTTGGACCGGATTCATTTGGCTGCGGTGGTCGCATGCACGACGGATGTGTTTCCGCATAATGGGGTGGATGCGACAGGATTTTCCGAAGTGGCCCGTCAATGCAATTCGGGTTTCATAGCACTGGGGCACAGTGGTCTTCCTGCAATGGCTGGTGACGGTCCCTAGTGGACCGGTGTATTTATGCTGCTGCTGCTCGAGGAGGCGTAGAAGTGCGATTTGAGGTGGGTGGCGGAAGGGCCACACATCTCGCAGTGACGGTCGTCGTTGGCCCACCGGGTACCTCTGAAGGTTTTGTTGGATGCAACGTCCTTATGCCCGTCTCCGGATGGCGACATCCCTGATGCAGCCAACGGACGGGGCTGGGAGCGACGGTGAGACGCAAGCACGTGTGGAGGCTTGGAGCGGCCGGCGCACCGCACGCTGAGCGCATGGCACGGTGAGGGCTGGACCCAGAAAAGGGACACCGCGCGGGACGTCAATCTTCACTGCAGCGACCGCCACCGAATTCGGATTTGCTCGCACCTTCTGCGGTCCCTGTTCCTCCCCTCACTTCTGTGCCGAGGACTGTGCCGCGGGATCCAGCAGCGTGATGTTTGGCCGCAGGGGCATGTCCCGAACAAATGATTTGTGGGAGGGGATGTGCACTGCGACGAGAAGGAAGAAAATATTGCGAGACGACCACCACCGCAAGACCGGAGTGAAGTTGTGTTTTGTCCACTTGCGCGAGGGCGGCCTGCCACCTGGTCTGTTAGGAGGATTATTTTTTTTTCTTTGCGCTCTCTTTTTATTCCGCTGCGTTTTCCTGCGGAACTGCGAAGGGGGATTTGCAAGAAATTTCTGCGAGGCGTCCGTGCCGTCGTCGGAAAGGCGGATTCCCCTTGAAAACCGCTACTTTTTAAATTTGTTTTGGGCGGGGAGTTCCTGCCGATTCAACGCGACTTTGTTTTGCGGATTTGATGCGTGTGTTTCCGAGCGGTTCGGTCTGTGCTCCCGGACCACTCGGATGTGGTGTGCGCGTCGACGTGAGGGTGCCTGCCAGCCGTTTTATTGCCTCCCCCGCTGTGGCTGCCGCCGCTGCCTTCTTCCCTTCCTGAGGTCCTGCGGCTTCTTGACAATATGTTTTGGAGAAGGCGTTGCCGCTGTTATCGTCCATGGTATTTTGATTCTGGTGTCGTGGTCAGGAGACATTGAACGAGAGGGTTTGCTGCCCTCCTGTTTTATTTGCCCTCTCTGCCTGACGGCCAGTTCTACACAAACGTGCTCCTCGGCACCTCAGTTGTCGCTGGCAATCGCATGCGCCAACTCTTCTCTGCTCCTTTTCAGTGTCGCATTTTATTGATTGACGGACGCCATTCTGTCCG